TAATACAATACTTTTATAATTAACATTTATCTACTTAATACAGTCAACTCGCGATATAACGAATTTCAAGGGACCGAACAAAAAGTTCATTATATCGAAAGTTCGTTTCATCGAAATTCATTATATCAAAAGTATAAATCAACAAAATTTGTTTATAGGATATTTAAAAGAAAATTTAGATTTTTATAATTACATACCTACATACAATATTTGATTATTATTAAATATTTTATTAGATACATTCATAAATTTTTTGTTTATTACACATACTTATTTATTTTTTTAAAAAATAGGTTATTTTTTTTTTTTTGTGTGTGTGTATCCACTTGCGCTTACGTAATTAATAGTGTTGTTCAAATTTAGAATATTACAAAATACACTGTCGTCAATATCATGTCTTAGTAAAAAACTTAAGACGGCGTGGAGACCTAATTTTGCTTTATTCGAGATTACGGGGGGCTCTTCGTCATCAGCTTTATTCAAAATCTCATCGTTATTGAGAACTCCACAGATAATCAAATCTTTGTCGATAGCAACAAATTTTTATTTATATTAAATACAATTTACATTTAACAGACGTGTATTATATAAACGATACATGAACATTATCTTATCGCATAAGAATGGTTGAAACAAACTCGTAAAATGTGCAGTATCAATCTCCAAAATAGTAAAAATTCGTTACATTGCGTGAACTTTAGCCAAAAAATCTTCGTTATTTCGAGGGAACCAAAATACTTTTAATTTTTCGTAATATCACAAAATTTTTAAGGGTCCGACAGTTTTATATGTTATATCGAGATTTTCGTTACATCGAACTTCGTTATACCGCAAGTTGACTGTAAATTAATGAGTTCTACATACAGTATCAATCGTACTACGTTTTTATTCTAGTTATTTGAGACATGATCAATGAAGACTATGAAATCTTACAAAAACATTGTATATATTAAGTATTTATAACTCTTGTATTTGTTTCTAATCAATAATTTGATGTTTTCATCTCCATTACTTTTGGTCTTGCTTCAAATGCATCACTTACGTTTGGCATACTCGGTTATTTAAATATGCTTCCTATCTTGTTAAATTTGTTTTTTTAGTTCATTTGACATGTGACGTTGAGTTTATAGTTGGTAAGCAGACATTGATGTTTTAAAAGTTACATAACAAAGCATTTTAAACAAATATTCTTGAATTTTTCATCAACAAAATATCATATATTAGTTTATGTAATTTAAAATTCGAGTAACCTTGCTTATAAATGTAAATTAACTTAACCGAACAGTTATTTTGGTGTTATTTTTTTGGAATATTCAAAAATGACCAAACCCTATTTAATCTCATTTAAATGTGTTTTTTAATTTAATTTAGTTAAACATTCGATTGAAATTCAACAAGCATAATTTTGTTGGTAATCTAAACAATATTTTAATAAAAATATAATGCCTTAACTAAATTCTCGAACATTTTAAAAATAATGGTTTATGTATTCTTTTGTAACACAATTTAAAGTTTATTTTACAATTTATCAATTGTTTTTTTTTTGTTTTCATTCATTATTAGCGACAAATTGTTCATAACACTTTAAGAAATATTAATAAAAAATAATCCTTTATGAAAAAAGTACAAATCCGTAATCACTGCTGAATTTATTAATTGAATAAGGGTATGTATATAACATAAACATAAATCAATATAAAAATATATGAATATTAGTAATTAATTAAACCAATTCACTTATAAGATTAATAACTAACGATTTTTCTTTTCACTAATATAATAGATCATTTATTTTCTTTAAAGTTATTTTTCAGAAATTTAAATTCGTACTTCTTTATTATTGTGTGTACAAATAATATAATAATGACAAAAAATGTAATGTACGCTTTTTAATAACCTGCATTTCAATATTAAAAAAGATATCGATACTACTTCGAAACCAAAATAATTCTTAAATTATAATAATTACCTATATGTCATAGCATATATACCATAGTTATTAAATCAAATTAAATCCATTGAAAATATTTTGAACTTTTCGTTGCCAATTGTAAAATAAATAGTATATTATAAACAGTTTTATGAAGATATACTGCTGCATACATAGTAATAAAGTTTTTAAAAATTATGTTTTTAAAAACATTCGATAATTCTTACTGTATCAGATTATAAAAAAGTTTTCATTTCATTATTTTAAAATTTCACGAGTTAGCACTCATGATTATGGGATAACTTAACAGTAATATTAACACGGCGAGTTTTAAAAAACGTTTACGTCTTCAAACCTATTCTCTCGTCGTCGGTGATGATAGATACCGCGTATGAAGTTAAACTTTTTGTTAAGTCATCGTTTTGACTATACAATGCAAATATCGCTGTTTTGTTATACATTTTACTCATAGCACGTTGTAAAAAAAAAGTAGGCACTTGTGCGGTGTACGAATTCGCTTATATTGGATACCACTGCTGTGTTTAACGGCAAGTATGCTTGGTTGCCGACGAACGGTGTTCTGTACAGTCTCTTGTAATAAGAACAGTATAATATTATACTGTACGCGAGTGCAATAAAAGGGTAGGGCGCAGCGAGAGGGGTGAAATATTCTTCTCCGTCGTATACACGCTTGTTTGATACCGATTAATATAAATCAACCACCGATTGAAATTTTCCCGAAAAAATTAAATGTTAAAATGTTAATACCCACTAATACTCGTATGCTCTGCGGATGGCGGCGACTTCTCAGGATCTAGATAACCTTATGATGCGTGTATGGCTTCTTCTCTTTGCAAGGCGGCGGAATTCGTACCTACCCCGGTCTCATCATCATCATCGCTACACCGCACACTCTGTACAAGCAACGATATTATACTATTATTCAACCGAATTTATAACATATTCAGTTTCTATCCCTCCAGTCAGGTGTAAATTATCTTTGGTACTGGCCGCTTCATCATATATGACTGTATATCATATATCACTGTACGTACTCAGAAATCTATTCTTGTGCGTATAAACTAAAAATATTCATGTATATATATATATATATATGTGTGTGTGTGTGTGGTGTATGTAATATAATTATGCATACATTTATTAACATTTTGTATGATACACATGTAATTCTTCGCGACTACCAATCGTTCATAATGAAAAATAACTGCTGTTATTTATCACCCCCATGCACGACCCCCTCATCCTTTCTACCACCACTATCATTATATACCTACTACTACAACCACTTTTCGCATCGCTGCGACCCGATTTACCGCCATTTACTGTACTAACTTCAGCTGCCATAAATTCAAGATACCGAAGTATTATATTTTATGATCCACGTCTTGAAAACGTGTGCGAATTTATAGGACCAGACATTCCGTCGACATACATATATATATTTTGCGTATTATAATATTGACGGGTCATCACGGCAGCAGTGGCATTTTGCTTATTACATTTCTCATAACGGACCTCTGCGAGCAATACTTATATACCCTAGCCAAGGCATTTTTTAGGACCATTTCCTTTTCGCTTTTGTCTCCAATACATTTTATTATCCTTTTTTGTTCGCACCCTTGTTATCGAGCTTCATTATGGGTTATTTATTACCACACCTTTTCATTTCCACAATCTTCTTCATCACCAACATCATCCGTACTTTTACCACAATTCTTTATATTTTTTCGCGTTCAACGACTAAACATCCAGTTTAAATACTGTTGCCTGCATTCGAATGCATTGTATGAAAGCTTTTGGCACTTTCATTTTTTATTTAATTTTTTCCCCCAAGGTTGCCGTTTATGGTTTATGAGATAAGAAAAAAAACGTACTATAATATTTAATGATTATTTTTACATTTTAAATGTAAATGATATTTTAAAAACACTACGTGCTGTTTTTTTCTTTATTCCTATATTAAAGTAATCGCAAACATATTATTAAATTCGTTTTGCGTCTTTTGACGAGTAAAAACACACAGATGTTTTTAAACAACAAAAATCTCATTTTTTCGTTTAGGTAATAATTATTTTTACTTTTATATTTATATAAAAATAAGTTTATATAAGAAATAAACTGATTATGGTATCTTTTATAACCCAGTTCGTGTAAACAAACTCATTTATAATGGCATAATTGTACTGTGTATTGTGTGTATAATTTCAATATAATTAACTAATTTTTAGGTATTTCATTACAAAAAAATGTTCCAAATGTATTTCTTGGCTCATTTGTATCTATTCTATTATTAATGGGCATTAAAAACTTTAAGTTCATCTAAAACGTAAATTGTTACTTTGACTATACTATCATAACAAAATGTTTATAATTGAAAAATAAGTATTACTAGTTTTTAAAAATGTTTTCATCAAATTATAAAAAAATAAAATACAACTGCGTTTCCAATGAGTTTTTGTAGAAATAATCAAAAATTATTGAATTTGCAACAATAAAATTTATTTATTCTAGTTTAAAAACAAACAATTTGTGTATCGTAAGTATTTAACCAATCATAAAATTGTTGCGGAGAAAACCAAAATAATTGTTAACCATTGTTGTAATATTAAAATGAATGGACATAATGCGTACTAAGAAAAAATTAAATACCTTTCCGACATGAATATTTTTTCTCTATTTATTGACGTATTAACATTGGTTATTCATTAAATCCTTTGACTGATTGCACGCATGTTTATTGACCCAAAAATTTTATAGAATAAACACATTTTATTTGATGTTGGTCATTCGACTGAAAATTATATTAAACGTAGTTAGTATGAGAGTTATGATTATATACAAGGTACTTTCTTAAATTAATTTTATTTGTTCACATATCTATGTTATTAAATATACTATACGCGCTATTCTCATTGAACTGCCCATTTGATTATACTATAAATTAAAAATACCAAGAACCTATGTGTATTCAGGTGTCTCATATTTACATAAATATTATGATGCATTTCACAATTGAGTTTTAATGATGGAATTTGTGATTTTCCTGTAGGATCAAGAGCAAGGAATTGATAGCCAACATGGGGAAACAGACGAGTTTTCTCAATCAGCATCTATATCGGGCCCAGCGAGTCATGTCCAACAGTCCATCCGGCGAAGAGGTGGTATATCAGCTGAGCACGTATCTGAAGAGGAAGCAACAAGCTATGTTAAGAAAGTAAGTGTATGATACAAAATATTATATTTCGCTGAAAAAGAACAAATTATAAATATTCATAACATACGCAATGACCCTTGTGGTTTTAAGATATTTAAACGGAATTAAGGTATTAATATGTACGATTTATTGCGTAAAAGCAAATACAATTTTTTTTGTAAAATATTGCGAATCAAGATCAACTAAGAGATGTTAAGAAATGTATGATCCATACAATTTTACAATATGAACACTCGTAAAAATCTTGCTAATGCATCGTAAAAAATCATATTCATATCGTATAACATTAAACATAGTTTGTGAATGTAATTTTTCCTATTTATGATTTAATTTACTATAATTAAACACTGAGGTTCCAAACTAAACATTGACTATGAAAGATTTTATGCTCAAGGTTGTTACAGGATTCATAATGTTGAAAATTAAATATGCTGAAGAAAAGTGGGTATATTTACACGGAGATATCAAAATAGACCTATAAAAACATATATTTTAAATATGTTATCAACAATTAAAATTATTATTATTATAAAAAAAAAAATATTATTAAGTGTGAATTACTCGATGACTATAAATATTATTTATATTACCTCATGATAAATTCAATATTTCTTTCGTATTACCAAGTCGTGTAATCAGTCTATTTTGCTCATAGAATTAATTATAATTATTAAAGTAATTTTAAAGGTCATATACTAAGATGACTGGTAATTTTTATATTTATTCTTATTTTTTTTCTCAAAGAGTGAAAGTATGACACTCGACAGGCGTTGCAAAAGTATATATAATAGTATATAATATGATATAATTATCTATGCATTTATATTTTTAACCTTTATATTTAAGTGAATTATATAGACAAATATTAATACATCTTAGTTAGCTGAAATTAATTTAAAGCAAATAGTTACTATATACAGGTAAAATTAAATAATCAATAATTAATTCAAGTTAAACATAACATTTATACTTATGTTACTTGTTAAGCGTTCAATACAATGTTTTTTCCTTCATTACTTTTTTGGCCAACAAACCTGTAAAATGTTTCATAGAACACCTTGGAAAGAAAACAAAATAATAAATACCAATTATACTATTTATTTATACCTAACCTATTTATTTAAGTAAGTCAATTTTTTTGTTAACATTTTTGGGTAGTCAATGTATACCAAAAAAAATTAATTGACATTATTTTTAGACATGAATTGATTTCAATTTAAGATATTTAAAATAAATTAAATTACCTGAAGTATATTTTGACTTCTGGAGTACTTTTGATTCAAAACTAATTTCAAACTTCATACGAATAATATTATTAAATAACCATCAGGTAATCTATGTTTTATCAAATGCACTTATAAAAACTTCCAAGATTTTTTAAAATTTTTAAACTTCCAATGTAAAATGTACAGAGCTCCTCAATTTGAATACAATATTATAATTGAGTTTTTCTCTATTTTACCACAAGAAAAAAGATTTAAATTATTAAATTTAAAATTTCTTTACAAATTATAAAACTATTTTATATATTGTCCAGAACTAATTGAATGAATGAACACCAAAATAAACTTTTAAAATCTAAACATAAACAGCTTTTTCATCTACCAAATATATGTTATCCTACCCATCTAATATTTTAATGTCTTCAGGAAATACCGTAAAAAATGTAGATTTATTCACTCTTTTCTTTTTGATCTTTCTTAGTTTATTTATTAATATTTATTTATATTGTTAATATTGTTTTCATTATAATATAATATAGTATATTATATTAAAATATTATGCGATGTATACATTAAATATACATGCACCGTTATTTATATTTTTAAATATTTTATAACTGTCTTGTATATTTAAAATGTAATTAGAAATTATTCCGTAATAAGTACTATTATTATTATTATTATTATTATTATTATTATTAAACACTTCATACTTAAAATACGTTTATGGTCATCCAAATGCATCTGTTATTGAGTTGAATGGTGACTATAGACTGATGGTTATAAAGAACACACAGAATATATGAAATATAAAACTTTCAAACCTTTCAAACATTCATTGGACTCTCTTTCAATCCAAAAAGAATAACCTATAATTTGAATATTCTATAAGTTTATTTAATCTAATTTAATCATATTATATTGGTCGAACAAGAGCACAAGGAAATATCCCAGAACTTTTAACATTCTGCGCTCTGCGACATTATAATATATTATCTATGTAAAAGCTAGATTTTCATGAACTCGTTAATCAATAAACGTCGATCAACACTATCAAGGCTATTTAGTATAATATCAACATTGGATACTAAAATTACATTATTTAATAAAGTATTGAATGATTTATGTTTAAGGAATTATTACATCTTGTTTATTAATTATTGATTTAAATTTTGTAACTACGAGTATTTCAATAAAAAATATATTTGAGGGTTTTTTAAAAACTATTGTTTTACAGATGAGTTTTTAAATTAACTTGAATATTAAATGTTTTTGGTATGAATTCTTAATTTTTGCCAATTTAGCCTGGAACATTATTTTTCAATTATGTTGATGGATTTGACTGTTTCATCAATTTATGGTTTGTCCTATTGAAAGAATTAAAATGTTTAAACTTAAAATTAAATCCATTAAACTGCATTTAATACGCACAAATGTATAATTTTGTTCTCTTGAAAATAACATATATAATATACTGTCTATATGTCATACCATATTTTCAAAATAAAAAAATTACAGCTCTTTAATTTCAGTGGTACGAATAAAAGAATAGTAAAAAACTTTTATATTTCGGCTTATTTCATCTCTGTTTTTCAATTCGTAAACCTTAACTAAGGACATATGAGTATACTCGTAGTGAGCTCTAAGCTTTCACAATTTATTATAACGTTGAGTACACACTATGTATACAGCAATACAAATACATGTTTTCATCTTTAATGGTTATAATATTTTAGAAACTAGACATCTGTAGACACAGCTAATGGACGAGTTTTCTTCGATAATGCTATCTAAAAATACTAAAAGAAAACAATCAACCTTCAGCTTTCTATACTTCTTCAAATTTATTGTATTCGGAAAATATTTTCGAAATGTACTTTTCAATACGTCTTTACCCAAAAAAAATGTATAACCACCTAAAATATTTTTACGTAGACATAGACTATATATTTTCTAAAGGTACATTTTCTCTACATGCGTTTTTGTTTTTTCGATCAAACTACGTTCACTGAAATTCTATCATAGCACTTGCAATAGTTTCTTTATTTATTTATCGCATGGCACATTTGACACATAATATACATAAAAAAGTTGTAATATGGAATAAGAATAAAATAAAAACAAAATAACTCATATATAAATTATAATAATAATATAGCAATGTTCAATAGGATTATAATTATAAATTTGTATCGCTTATTGTCTGATTTTAATATTTTCTCTACAGTTTAATGTCTAAGGTAGTTGTCCAATCTAGAGCTTGATTTGGTAGTCTAAAGAAATCATTCATTTCACCTACAAATCTTTTTACTTGCAATAGTAATCTAATATACATGTGATTTTTTTTAAATTTATTTTACAAATATCTTTATCATGATTCAATGACTTTTAATTTTAAATAATCATAATATTATTTGTAAAATGCTCAAAGAAGAACAAGAGTTTGAAGATGAATTACATTTAAGAATTATTCCTAAACAAAGAAATACATTCAACAGTATTAGTTCCTATTTTGTTCAACATATTACATCAATATTCCATCCTCGGTTGATAAAAACACATATTTTTTGACATTTTTAATATGTAGTCGTAGGACGTTTAAACGCAGCATTAATATAGCAAGTAGTTCGTCTGAGTGCACTACGTTAAACGCAAGTAGAAAAACAGTCACATGTAAAATGCGTGTACTTATTGATTATGTGTCGAACGTTGGACAACGTTAAGGAAAACGTATGTTAACAGTATTTGAATAACTAATAAAATATGATTTATTTTATAAAATAATAATATAATTAGATAGTAAAATAAAATTAGTTTTTAATTGTTAAATTATATTAAAGTTAAAAGTTTTCAGTAATTATCTATAGTAATAAAATTAAACATTTAATCGAAAAAAATAATTTATGACATTTCTCGTTGGCTGTTTTTTTTTTTCTTCAAATTTGTTTATCGAAACGACCGTTAGAGTCTTCACCAAAATATTTTTCGCTTATGAAGGGTAGAGTGCAGTGTACTTTCTACTCTAAAAAGAGAATTTTCACGTGTGTGGACTTCACTCCCGGGGGAGTGGGTCCGGTAGGGAGGCAATATAGACAACCAGAACGTTGGCAGGAGAGAAAAACTACACTGGCTGTCTTCTAAAGTGAATTCTTTGAATCTATATTTTTCTTGGCTAGATTATTTGAATTTATTGAACATTTATTTTTACTTTTATTATTATTATAGATAAATCGCATTTCTGATCAACTTATATAAAAAGTTCTTCGAGCATATTTAAAATTTAATAATTCAAAAAATATTTTTCTTTTAATACAGGCATCCATATACTCGTATACATTGTATAGAAATAATAGGAATATCTAATAATAATGCTTTAACATTCCTATTATTTTCTAAATGGAATAAAAATACTATGTGAAGGTATTGAAAAATAATTTAATTTTGGTGGATTATTATTAACTCTAAATGTATTTAAAGTATTTTTAAATTAAATAATATACCGATTGATGATATTTGAAATTTAACATTTAAAATGTTTTTTTTTTTAAATTATTTATCATGTTAGTAGTTAATCAAATAAAATAACCTTTATAATAACTATACGATATTAATGATATGTTATTAATGGTCATTAAAAATAGAAAAATATATCACTTTAAATGCTAAATTCTTGTAATACGATTGGCAATTTAAAATAATAAATTATAAATATAGTATAGCATTTAACAATTTTTTTTTTTTATTATTAAAATTGAAAATTTATAGATTGTAAAATAATATGTTATCATATATAGAGCATATGTTCTTCTTCTTCTAAAATAGGATATTATAATGTGAATAATACTTACATCATAATTAGTATGAGGAGGGAGACTACCCAGTGATAGAACACTTATGCGGTTTTATGGTCGGGGATTAAATAAATCTCTACGCCAACGTGCCGAGTTGGCTCCCCCTTGAATGACTATAAGTTAGTCGGTGTGAGTGTGCATTTAACGATTAAAATAGACGTATTATTAAATGTACAAATTATTTTTTAAAAATTATAAAACATTCCGAATAAATTCAATACAATTGATTTAAATCAGAAGCATTTTCTCTTACCGATTGTATAAACTATAAATTTAAGTATTCAACTTCTGGAATCACCATATTATTAATGTTTTATGAACGTATATTATAATCATATTACTCTCGGATATGTTTCAGGTAGTGCCAAAAGATTACAAAACAATGGCGGCTTTATCGAAAGCCATCGCTAAAAACATTTTGTTCTCTCATTTGGACGAAAACGAACGGTCAGACATTTTCGATGCTATGTTCCCGGTCACGTTTCTACAGGGCGAATCTATTATTCAACAGGGTGACGAGGGAGATAATTTTTATGTAATCGACGTTGGCGAGGTTGAGGTACTGCTGTTTCTAAACCGTTTGTTTTCAATAGTTCAGTTCTCTCGTATACATACATATATCTCCCTATACACATCAACTATCGCGTAACATGTGTGCGTGTATTATGTAATATAGGTGTACGTGAACTCGGAACTAGTGACGGTGATCGGCGAAGGCGGGAGTTTTGGCGAACTGGCTTTGATACACGGTACACCACGGGCGGCCACGGTACGTGCTAAAACTGACATGAAGCTCTGGGGTCTGGATCGCGACAGTTACAGGAGAATACTTATGGGGTCGACGATCCGAAAGAGGAAAATGTACGAAGAATTCTTGTCACGCGTCTCTATTCTAGGTGAGTATTACACTTAGGTAAGCCCATACACGATACATATGGGCAACTTTTTATGTAATTTTGCCAAGTCACTTGATAATAAAAATATGAACTGGCGTGTTTATTACGTACATAAGATTAGTTGTAGTAGTAGAGGTTGTAAATATTTTTTGTTACCCCGCAGTGAGTTCCTAACTACACTTCAATCTAAAATTAATAAAACAAAACAAAATAAAATCTCATTAATTTCTATATATCCCATATTATTATAAGTCACTCGAATAGATAAATAATTTCATTTAATTATACGATTTATATCAAAAAGACACGTACAACTAATTATAAGACCATTAAGTGCATCATTCATCGATAATGTTCGATATAAGCCAAGTATTTTAATTTATTTAATGTACTAATTGTTATTGGTGCTTGACGACACTTCGATATCTCCCTGCCGTTAATTTACTGACTAACAAATGGAAAAATCCCCATTTTGGCTAAAACTTAACCCTTTTTTAGCCAACACTTACAGTTCCTTTTTCGGCCAGTGTTATTTTGAGCCAAAACTTACCGTTTCCTATTCTACAGTTTTATTCAAAATTTAAAACTTATATATTGAATAAAATGTTATTTTTTAATAACAATTATTACATACAACTGTATGAAAAAATAATAAATTTTAATAGTTGACAATAAAATATTCTTTCTATATAATGTACCTTAATTTAATTTATGTGTATATTATATGGAAACGATAAAGTACAAAATTTCGTTACTCTATATCAGTGATTCCCAACCGGTGTCCCGCGAGGGCCCTTTAAATATGCCGCGATAAATCTATAAATTGTTTTATAAGTATGTATTTACCAGCTTATTATTGATATTCGAGATGAAAACTTATCGAACTAATCGTAGATACATATAATATTATTTATTGTAAGTATGCCCGTTGCAGTCGTTTCGATCGACTGATTGTATTAATATATTTCACAATAAATAACCCTCTAATAGAGTAGACTGTAAATAGCATACATATATATAAAATATGGTTCACATAATATATGGATTGGTGTGCGGCGAAAATTTTGTTGGAGATGAAGTGTGCCGCATTGTAAAAAATGTTGAAAACCACTGCTCTATATTATAGCTAAAGACCGAATTTAATTGATATTGCAACTTTTTGTTGACACCCGGTAAATAAAATCTGATCAAATATTTATACGAATCAGATTAATTACATTTTTCCTATTTAATTTAAAAGTACAATTTTCAACGATTGTGCATTTTTTGTAATTATTGCAATTTTGTAAACTTCACATGATAAAATATGCAAATTTTTACTTCCAAAGTGATTTTACAAAAAAAAATATAACTACTACGTAAATTTTTACATTTAATTAAATATAGTTTAGGATTTTTAATATTATACTTATCCACAAAACTCATAAGTTTAAAAGAATCAAATAGTCAATTACTTAATAGTTTAAACATATTTAGTGAAATTGAAAATATTTCTATAAATATTCTCTGTCCCAATAGAAAAATAGTTAAAGATAAATTAAAATATGTCTTACAAAAAAAATGAAGGATATAAAACTATTAAAACTTACTCTGAGATTATGACAGAAAATAAAAATGTTTATGTAGATGCAATACCAAATTTTTTAAATTATTTTAAATATGCATCAATAACAAGTGTTGCGTTAAACGTATTTTTTCATTAATTAAATATATTTTAAGTAACAGATGATACAATTTTCAAGACACACAATTTAGAGATGTATATAATTATAAATTTTAATTCAGAAAAACGATATATTTTGTAAATATTATATTAATGTCCATAATATTATTTAAGTAAGTAATTAATGATTATATATTTGATATGATTTTACTATGTAATTTTAACGTATATTTAATTGCAATTTTAACATATTTATACAGCGATTTTGATACATTTTCATTGCAATTTTGGTATCTTCTTAGTGTAATTTTAAGATATTTTTAATGCAATTATATCAGGTCTTTAATTATAGCCTTTAAAGTTTATATATCAGGGATGATGAATTTATTGCACGCGTGTCAAAAGTTACACTTTGACCAAATTTCAGTAAAGTGCAAGAAAATTCAATTATTAAAAATTTTACACAAAAAAAATTATCCATTTATAAAACTTTAGTTGTAAAAAAAACCTTGATTAAAAAAATTTGATACTTGATTCAAAAAACTTCGTCGCTCCTGTTTTTAAGTATATTTAGGACACATTTACATTATATTATATCAGACAAGGAACAACTCTGATTTTTATCTTTATTTCCAAAAAACAAGCTATGAACATAACTAAATGTACACTGAAGATTATAAAAATAGTAAAATTTGTCAAACAAAAATTAATTATTAATTTGACTAAGGTAATAATATAATATTTTATTGCCAACTATTTTATTTTAGAATTAGTAGGAGAACTAGTAATGATTGGTTGCTTTTCAAGTCATACATGTTATTTACTGTTTTTTTTCTGTTTTTTATTTTCCTATAGTTACTTATTGTACCACCACACAGATTGTAATTTTACTATTTTTTCCAATAAAATAATAAAAAAAAGCTATTTTATTTCAATATTTTTCAATATATTTTTACGTAATCATTTTTATCAAAAAATTATATCTTTGAATATAACCTTATTTAATTAAATGTAAAAATTATTAATTTCAGTTGTTAAATTTGTAAATTTTAAAAAAAATTGTACTGGCTGAAAACGGTGACCTCAATAAATCGACTACGATTTGGCCCTTATAATTCTACACATGAAGTGTACAAATGGAGTGCGACCCAGTTCAAACCAGAATGTCTGATAAATATTATGTTAATGCTACTAACATTTTTTTAAGTGTCTACCACTAATGGTGACTATAATATAAGATATAAAATTATTACATCACGAATAAAGTTCTATATTTGAATAAGAAAAATGTATTATACATACTATAGTATCTTTTCACTATAATATTATAATTATGTTTAACAAAAATGATTGATAATATTTCTTTTTAATTTTGTTTGTTATAACTCATAAATTATTAGGCCCTTAGGTTTACAATTTATAATTGTTGTTTGCTTATGTTTAATCCGGTTTAACATTTTGAAGAATTAATGCGAAAATGTAAGAATAAATATTTTTTTAATTTAACTATTTCTTATTTTGAGATATTTTATATGCAATATTTTGTATTTATCATGTTGTTGAGATCTGGAAATCCAAAGTTGTGATTTTATCTGTCTATGTCTATCATATGCATAACATGTTAATTTGGACGGGTTAAATTTTCTACGTATTTCATTCACTGTTGTGAAGAAATGTTGAAAACATTTTAATTTTCCTTTAAGTTAATTTAGTGGTATATTTATACTCGTGCGCTTTTTCGTGTATTAGATGCATGCATCATAGAGCACCACGAGTTGAACAAAAAATCTTTTGTTCAGCGCATGCCCAGTTGAATAGCTAAATATTCTTGACGCACGCTACAACACAAGGTTTTCCGCGCTCAGTGGGAATCCGTTCAACACGCCATGCTTTTTATATTCAATTTCACTTCAGTAGTCAAATATCATATCGTTATTTATAACTTAAATTTAGCTGGAACAGCCTCTCTAAAACTAGTGTTTTGTTTTACTATTTCCGGTTCAATTATATTTAGTATTGAGTAAAAACTTGCTCTGGACTTTCGTGTAAAGATTTTAAATAGAATATCTCTTTCTTATTACAAAACATCAATAATTCCAAAATTTCAAATTTTTAAATAATTTTTGACCCACAAAGAACGCTTCTTCCTACGTTTTTTATTTGTACTTGCAATAATCAAGTAAACCGCACAAAAACCGTGAAGTACATGTAAATCCGGCACATATTTTGTTAACAACCTGGAAAACGACTGCTTTGTGACGTCACTAGTGTGAACAGAAAAAGCATGCATCTATTACATTCCACAAAGACATGCATTAGATGAAAGCAGAATTGAAAGTTAAAACGCAAGTTGAATTGAAAGTTGAAGTGGAAAGTGCATGAGTATAAATATACCTAAAGACCTACTTTTTTCCATTCTATATTTTTGTTTAAATTTTGCAAAAATTAGTTGTTATTTTTTTATTATCATTAAATGATTTCTAAATTTAAATTGTTTTCCATTAAATGTTATTAAATATTATTAATATTATTTAAAGTTTTTTGTGTATTTTGAGGAATAATTCAATCAACGTACTAATGGATAATATTAATATATGTCAATATACATAGCAAATTGCCACTTTCGATTTTTTAATGCTCTCAATTATATAATGTAGTATCGTTGTAGAAGTATTTAAATTAAGATATTTAAATATACGTTTCACTTAAGCTCGATTTTTCTCAAATGATACAATACATTTTATTTTAACGCAGTATTACGAATTAATACTAACGAAAATAATTCAAACATAATGTACAATTTTGAATAGTAATTTTGTTATATATCTTTAAGAATTGTATTTGGTTGTATTTAATCTTCATACAAATGTATTATTACTAATTTAATGGATTGAATTGTGTCTGTTACAATAAATGATTTAATTTACATTTAAATAACGTATTTCACGTTTACAATTTATATGTAATCATTGTTTGAAGAGTTAATCATAGATTGTGAATAATAATACCTTTTAAGAGACGTAAGTTTATGGTCTAATCATAAAAATACAAAAAGTTTTACGTCAATACGTAGTATTGATTTTTGTTATTTCTCTCAATTGGATTATTTTATTTAATATTAGAACTTAAAATTTTTATGTTTATATTTTTAAAATAAATTGACGGTCTGTAAAATATATCAATAAGTAAACATAATGAAACAAATTTAATTGACATGAGTAATTCATTTGGTGAAGAGACCCATTGGCAAAACTCTCGTATAACTTTTTATCTATTTAATATAAAAATTAAATTAGATTTTTTTTTGCAACGGGACCCGTTTCTTTTTTGGAGTTGC